GTTCACTCCGTCCGTCGGCCTGGGCCCTTCTAGACACCGTCATTCGTTGCTTCACCTGCATGATCGTCATCAGCGAGATCCAAAATTCACTCGTGAACCTTGGATCTCGGTCCGAAACAGTTGACTCCGGCAGTGAGTAGTAATGAACAACATGATCCAAAAACAATCTAGCTGTTGTCTTGGCACCGACACCCTTGGTAGTGGGAATATATAGCATGGTCTGTTCGAGAGCCGACACACAACTACATAGATCGCGTCAAAACCTTCATTCCGCGGTAACGGGGTAACAAAGTCCATAGTCACATGCTGCCAACAGTAATCCGGAACAGGAAGAGACTGAAGCAATCCTTTGCGCCGCCGAGATCCAGACTTGTGCCGCACACAAGCTTCACAAGTCGAGATGTACTGCGCAATATGCTCCTGCATTCCTAGCCACCAGAAATACTGACGCATAGCTACCATCGTACGTTCCACACCAAGATGTGCAACTAATTCGACATCGTGAAGTCGTGCATTAGCCGGAAAAGAATTGAACCCACTTGAGCTAACTGAAGTACGTGAACTGCATCCGCACCCTTGACCACTAGTACTCCATCTATAAGCTCCTACTTTGCACACACACGGTCATCTTGGCGCTGTAACCCCTGCAGAATCGTAACGTAATCCTCATCTTTTGCGTATGCTACTCTGATGTCTCATATGAATTCATCATCCTCCCCCACCACGCGTGCCCGAAAATACCATGTTTGCAGGTCGTTCAGGAAAAGTCGGCAAAAACGCTGCTGCTCCTTCAATAAGAAGTTTAGCAGCTCTAATAAGAATAAGAGTCGTGAAGACAAACGAACCGACCGTTGTGACGTAAATCGGAGGGCGAGAAAGCGCGTCCGCCACAACATTTGAGCTGCCCTTCTTGTGCACGAGCTCGAAATTGAAGTTGTCGAAAACCTGGAGCCAACGAGCCATCTTCGGCGATAAGTTCGGGTGCTGCAAGAATCATCGGCACGCAGAGTTGTCGGTGTGAACCACGAAAAGAGATCCAAGCAAATAGCATCTCCATCGTCCTAGACAATGTTTTATGGCGTATAGCACCTGTTCGTGAGCGGTCCATGTGTCTGAGAGCTTGCGACTATAAAAACTTGCAGGATGGTCGAACCCATTGACTTGCTGACTGAGTACACCTCCAACACACGTCTTCGATGCATCCGTTGTAACTAGAAAAAGGCAAGTTCATGTCTGGTAAGCGCAGTATTGGTGCCGAAATCGGTGTCTTCTTAATTTTGTGGAATGCGAACTCTTGATCGGAGCCCCATTTCTACTCAGACGTATTCTTCAGTAGGTTGGAGAGAGGTAAAACGAGTTCAGCGTAACTTCGCACAAATCGCCGGTAATATCCAGCAAGCCCCAACAATCGCTGCAAGTCCTTCGCGTTTTGTGGTCTTTCCCAGTTTGCTATCGCTGCAGTTTTGTCAGGATCAACTCGAACACCATCACCACTGACGATGTGCCCCAGAAATTGGATCTGGCGCTGGGCAAAATGACGCTTGCCGGGTCTCGCGTAGAGTTGCTCGTTCCGCAGAATTTCAAATACTCGACGCAAATGCTGCCAGTGCTCTGCGCGGCCTTCGAGAACAATCAACTATCGTCTAAGTAGACAACTACAAACCCGGCGAGTTCCTTGTTTGCACAGATCCGACACATTACGCGCGAACAAGTGCCCGGCATTGCGGCCAGGCCCGTGGGAGCGACACGCCATTGATAGATCTCCGACCCAGCACAAAAAAACCGTGAATTGGGGCGAGTCTAATGCCATTCGCGTTTGATGATACCCCGAAGCCAAGTCAATCAACGTGAACACATGAGCACCAGCCAGACGATCAAAGATCTCATCGATTCTGGGAATAGAAATGCGAGGAATGTTGGTGGCCGAGTTGACGTACCGATAATCAATAACCCTTCGCACGGGCTTCAGTGCATCACCTCCGCGCACCCACTGTATCTTCGTCGGCAACTCCCCCGTCACGCGATATCGTTTAGGTACAGCAAAACTATTTGAGACTCAGGGAGACGAACTGCGTGTAATCCACTTCTTCTGCAAAAGCTTGTCGACAAAAACTTG